CCCCCCAAGTCTCATGGCCAGCAGGTGGCAGACCTAGCCAGACATGCTGTTCTTCCACTCAGTTTGTTAGCATAATCACTGGCTAGTGCCACTGATCTCCCTCTGAGCAGCCAGACCATGTTGTCCATAGGGCCAAAGAGGCAATGGTGTTGGACAACAGGACCTGGGACTTTGCATAAATGATCATGCCTTGAGGCATGGGGCAAACAGATGCACAATGGTTTGCCCCAAAAGCACCAATTCATGTCCCCCAGAAGAGGACACAAATTAGCTAGAATTCCCTGTCAATAATAAAGAAGGATGTAGTAATATGCTAGATAGTGGTTTGAATTTCACTGACAAAGCCCAGCACTGGTGGCTCAAGCCTATAATGCTATCTACTCAAAAGGCTGAAAGATTGAGAATTGAGGTTCAAAGCCTGCTCAGGCAAGAAAGTCTATGAGACTTGTTGCAACCTGCTGCATGCCCCTTAATCTGTAGTGACTAGGAGCAAGACAATAAAGGAGACCAGTTTGGGGTTTGGGGTATCAGGGAACCTGTAGCCTTCTGCCAGCAACAGATCCCAAGGTTCCAATCACCAAGGTTTTTACTGGTCTTATGCAAGGAAGTAACGTACAAACTTCAATGTGTGACAATATTTTGTATGTAAGTGGTAGATAACTTTCTTATTTGGGGAAGGAGAGCTAAACAGTAAATAGCTTATAATTTGCATAAACCTAAGTCTATATGCAAAATCCCACACAGTTTAAGGAAGAGTTAGCCCACACCCAGGGTAGAAATCTGAATTGCCAGTAAGCCAAGACTGACTGACCATTCTAGGAAACTCCCAGTGTTCTGGGAGAAGACCTTCCAAACTCCCAATCCTTTTGGGTCTCACAACCTGGATTTTCAGGCTCTCACAGAGAATATTATCTCCAATTAACCAGTAAAAAGCTGGAAGTAGAGCTATGGCTCAAGTGGTAGAGTGCTAGCCTTAAGCAAAAAAGTCAGGCAAAAGCAGGAGGGCTTGACTTCAAGCCCCAATACCAGCACATGCGCGTGTGCATATATACATACAGACACACACACACACACACACAAAAAAAAAAAAATTCCACTGTCACATACAACATGTGGCTCCTGGACTAAGTTTACTCAATTTCTGGTACTGGTACACACACAAAAAGTATGACAAGGTAAGTTCTTTTTTGTTTCTGTTTGTTTTTTTTCCAGTCCTGGGGCTAGAAGTCAGGGCCTGGGCACTGTCCCTGAGCTTCATTTGCTCAAGGCTAGCACTCTACCACTTGGGCCACAGCACCACTTCTGGCTTTTTCTGTTTATGTGGTACTTAGGAATCAAACCTAGGGCTTCCAGGGCTTCATGCATTCTAGGCAAGCACTCTACCACTAAGACACAGTCCCAGCCCCACTGTTAGATTATTTGGACTTTGCAAGAAAACTATGCAACCATCCAGGTACAGGGAACAAAGAAAAGTTTATAGCTAGGAAAGAGGCCAGCAAGACCCCTTCTCATGAGGGACAAGTGAGAAGCAGCACCAGCTATTGTCTGGGGTGACCTATATAACCTAGGATGTTTAGGAGGGGCTAGAAGGGGTGAGGAGGCAGAGACCCTGATGTGGACATAAGGGCCAGGGGCTTCATCATGGCAGACTAGGATTGATGGCTGCTGTCCAAATAGTAGATAAGGGGCCCTGCAGCTGCCCAGATCTGAAAGTCACTCTAAGGGGCTCTTGTTGCTTTATATGTTGGTAGCTGTCCCAGAGAAGTACCGTCCCAAGGTAAAGGGAGTTGGAGGCTGATTATTTACTGCCTTCACTAAATGGGCCAAGTGTTGCCTAGGAAGGGAGCATGCTAAGCTGTGGAGAGGGAAGAAGTGTACTAAGCTATGGGAAAGGAGCTCATTTCGCTAACACCCACCCCTTTTTAAAATAACTTTATTAGTGTTTCATATTTCTTTGTGGTGCTGGGGATGGAACCCAGGGCCTTGCACTTGGTAGATAAGCTCTCTACTGCTGAGCAACACTCCCAGCCCCAACATGGTAACTTTTAGCATGAGTACCTGAGCCCTGCAAGGAGTTAATTGACATCTCATTTCTCATTTGCACATCTCCTCACTAAGGCACTGACTATTTCCTGTGGCAACCTTCTTAGTCGCTAAACACCTGCAACTGTCAGAAGATTGTTCTTGACATTCAGCAACCTTTTTCTCCATGGCTTTTTACAATATGGTTCCTACAGAACTGACTAGCAGCTGGTTGGAAAAAATGAGAGGCAGGCAGGCTACCTGGCTACTGGCCCTGTCTGGTTTGTTTCTGATCTCTGCCTGTAGTCTGGTGGGCAGACTGCCAGATAGCAGCCCTGAGACTTATTTGAGCTGGCTCTGCCCTGATCCTCTCTATGAAGCTGATGATCCGGCTCAAAGACAAGTCTTTGGAAACTAGAGGAGGGGATAAAGGGGAGGCTGAATCTCCCTTTTGTTAACCTTCAGTAGAGACCTACCCAGGCCCTCTTGCTACCATCAGCAAGTGTGGGAGGAAGTGGTGCTGAACCACAAGAAGGGCCCCAGGAAAACCAGGGTCTGATATCATAAAGATAGATGCATAGGGACAGTTGAACTTAATAAATCCACTCCTATATAAAGGAAAGGGAATATCCAAGTCAAAATGTCTCCCTTGGTGCTTCTCCACAGAATGAGAGCATTTTTGTTTGTGGTGACACCTGTTTGCTAGGAAAGGATGCTATCCCAGAACTGCAAACAGTAGCCTTATGCCAGGATTCCAAATGGATTTCCTTTCAAGTGGCAATGCCAATAGATTAGTAGTGACTGCTTTGGCTCTAAAAAGCTTCTGGGATCGATTGGCCATGACTGCCAGGACATAGATGGACCTTATAGTTGGTACCTGTAGGGAATTCTTGTTCCAGACCATTTCATTTTCTTTGTTCTGACCAATAACTATCTTAGATGAACACACTGGACTTTCTACTTAGCTGGATGAAACTGGATCCTGATCTGTCCCCTACCATCTATGAAACTCCCTGTAGGCTGTTTGATTTCCCTGGTGGTCTTAGAAATGCAGAGAACAAAGGAATTGTTCATCTCCAAGTGTGCTTGGGGCAAGAAAATTTAGACTAAGCACTTCCCTCAACATGATCCCCACTGGATAGAGCCTGTTGCCCTAACATCCCAAAGTTAAGTGGGCACATACATCTATGTGTGCGCCTTGCCACTACAGAGATGGAAATACTACCAGTGCTAAGCTCAAATGGGTAGAGCCCTACAGTGTTTCTCCATAATTGCAGGTAGGACAGAGAACAATAAGACACTAGAGGTAAGCTGTAATGGCTCACACCTATAATTCTAGTTACTCAGCAGTCTGAGACTTGAAGATGAAAGTTTGAAGCCAGCCCTAGGCAGAAAAGTCCAAGAGACTTAATTTTTTTTTTCTTTTTGTCAGTTGTGGGGCTTGAACATAAGGCTTGGGAGCTGTCCCTGAATTCTTTTTGCTCAAGGCTAGCACTCTACCTCTTTGACCCACGGCACCACTTCCAGTTTTTGATGGTCAATTGGAGATAAAAGTCTCACAGACTTTCCTGCCCCGGATGGATTTGAACTGTGATTCTCAGATCTGTCTCCTGAGTAGCTAAGATTACAGGTGTGAGCCACCAGCACCCTGTTCCAAGAGACTCTTGTCTCCAATCAACCAGCAAAAAGCCAGAAGTAGAGGTATTGCCAAAGTGGTATGGCACCAGCTTTGGGCAAAAAAGCTAAGGGACAGAGCCCAGGTCCTGAATTCAAGCACACACACACTAGGGCCAGGCACCAATGGCTCAGGCCTGTAATCCTAGCTACTCACAAGGCTGAGATCTAAGGAGTGAGGTTCAAAGCCAGCCCCAGCCAGAAAGTCCAAAGTCTATTTAAGGACCAAAAAAAGCAGAAGTGGAGCTGCGGTACAGGGACAGTGCAAAGGCTCTGAATTCAAGCCAAGGACCAACACACACACACACACACACACACACACACACACACACACACACACACACAGAGCGCGGGATGGGGTGTCTTACCTCAGCAGAGAACTGTATCAACTGCCTCTTGCCATGTGGAAGTTAGAAGGAGGAACCCCATGGAGGCCCTGTAGAGTAAAGCATGACCAAGGGGTCTTTATATATAAGGGCTGTTGGGGGGCGGGGGGAAGGAGGATAAATGGTTCCAGCCTTTGGAAACACTGTAGGGCTACTCCATCTGAGCCTTGCTATCTTGCTCCAGCTTTAGGGACCATGGAACAATTAGACCACGAGAGTCCCCAGATCCCAGAGTGGTAGATAACTGGATTTAAGCTTAAACCATGTGAGAACCTCCAGAACTCAGTTTTCCAACTGTAAAATGGGGACAGCAGCAGAATTCTTTCCCAGCGGGTTTTGTGAGGAATACAATTAAATACCCATAGAAAGGTTCGACGCGCTGTTCCCGGCAAACAGCAGGAGCTGGAGGATACCTGCGAAGTGGGATGGTGATGGAAACAACGCAGCCCGACTCTGGGTTAGGTTGCACGGGCCGCGCCAGTCCCCCCGTTTGGGGCACGACGGTCTGGGCACACCCTCCGAAGGCCGCCAGGAGGGGGCAGCCCCGAACCCTTAGCCACGACAGCTGCTGCAGTTTTCCAGGCAGGTGCCCGGGCCGCGTCCTCTCCGCGAGGGGACCGGTCGTCGGCTGAGACTGACATTCCAACGGCCCAGTAGCAAGGCGCCTGTTCTGCGCATCCACCCAATCGGTACCGGTTGCCGGGATGCATAGGTTCTCTCAACCAATAGGAAAATTTGCGGCTGTCTGGGGCGGGGCAGAGGGCTGCGAAGCCGGCCAAGCTGGCTTTGCGCACGGGCCGCGCTAGGGGCGTGCGCTAGGGGCGGGGAGGGCTGGCCCCCGGGCTGCACGCTGGGCTGGGGAGGGAAAAAGGGAGGGGCCGCCCTCGCACCGACTCAAGTTGCGGCCCCGGTGACCCAGACCTGCACCGCGCCCAGCCTGGGGGACGTCGCTCCCCGCGGGGGAGGGACCTGCGGACGCCCGTTTGGGGGCGGAGGCCGCTCTGCGGAGCCGCCCACGCAGCGCTCCAGGTAAGCTTCGCCCGGTGGGCGGGGTCCGGGGCCAAGGCCTGCGTTGAGGGTTGAAAACCTGGGACGATTCTGGGGTTGGGGCGGGGGCGGTGACCGGGGCTGGGCGGGGTAGGGTTCTGTGTGGTGTGGCGCGGGAGAGAAGGGACTGAGTCTTGGGTTCCGAGTCGGGGTCTGAGCGGGGGTCGGGAGCTGGGCGATAGAGGCCCTCTCCAGCCCCACCCGTGCCGCGCGCCTCACCGACACGGCGGCCTTGGAGACCCGGGGTCAGCTGGGGCGGTTTCCTTTGTGCTCGGCCTCGAGGCCGTGCGGGACCTGGCCGGGACGCCCCGCATCCCGAGCCCCCAGCTGAGCGCCACCCAGCTCGGCCGCCGGCTCGCCTCCGCACGACCACGGAGTCTGGAGGACGGGGCCCGGCGGCCACGGAAACTTTCCTAGGGCCAGAGGGTTGGCGAGGCCGGGGAACTTTAACTAGATCGACACGCCGCGGGAAAACGCGGTGGCATGGCCATGCTGAAGGGATGTTCCAGCACTACTGCTGCTCCTACTGCCTCCGGAGATTCCCTGGGGATTGCCAGTCTAGTGTTGAGGTCTGGGCTCCTCCCCACCTCATCCCTACATAAGCCTTTGGTCACTGGTACTTAGCCAGAGAAGGAGTTGCTTTGAGCCAGAGCCTTTCCTATTTTTAATTTAAAAATAATTAGTGAGTGCACATAAAACTTGCCCCCCCTCCCATTTTTGTATGCTAATACTGGGGCTTAAACGCAGATCAGGGCTTGAACTCAGGGCTTAGGCACTATCCTTTACCTTTTCCGTTGAAGGCTAAAGCTCTATCACTTGAGCCACAGCTCCTTTCAGCTTTTTTTTTTTTTGGTGGTTAATTGGAGATAAGGGTCTCACAGACTTTCCTTCCCAGGTTGAATTCGAACTGCTATCCTTAGTTCTCAGCCGCCTGAGTAGTTAGAATTATAGGCGTCAGGGACAGGCTGACAGCGAAAACCATTTTTATATCGTGTGTCATGTGTCAAAGTGAACATGGAACGGAAGACTCTGGGTCTTTCTTCCCTCTAGATTCACATGTATTTAGAAATGACAAAAAGGAGGGGCTGGGAATGTGGCTTGATGGTAGTGTTTGCCTAGCAGGGATGAAGCTCTGGGTTCAACTTCTCAATACCACATGAACAGAAAAAGTGGAAGTCGAATAATATTACTCCTCCTGGTCTAACCATTTGTCCTGCTAAGTCAGAGATGCTGCCCTTGCCCCCTACCATATCTGGGCTGCTTGGCTCCCTGTGTTCACCTAGTATCCTCTCCAGAGGGAGCCCCTTTCTGGTCCCAGACACCCTTTACATTTCTTAGCTTTCCTTAGGGCAGGGCTGAAGTCCTACCCCTGTTTGTGCTGCCCTAAGATTCAGGATTAATTGGTTTCACTCTCTCAAGAGACAGAAAGGACTGGGATAGGGACCCACAACACAAGTTTGAGACAGGCAGGAACAAGGAAATCCCCTGCAGAGCCAGCTGGAACTAAGGGCACCAAAACAGGCACTAGATGTGCTGGAGCTGTCCAGTCCTCATGTTCCATACCTAGCCAAAGCACAAGGAAAAGGGGTCATAGCTCAGGTGGGGTTCAGGATGCATTCTTCCTAAAGAGCCTAGTGGCTAGGAAGTGGGGGAGATCCCCAGGTACCCAAGTAGGTCATAAGCCATTCTCAAGACTGCTTGGCAGTGGCTCTTGTTGAGTGAGAATGTCGAATGTATTTCCTTCCTTCCTTCCTTCTTTTTTGTTTCTTTCTTTCTCTCTCTTTCTTCTTCCTTCCTTCCTTCCCTCCCTCCTTCCCTCCCTCCCTCCCCCTTTCCTCCCTTCTTCCCTTCCTTCTTTCTTTCCTTCTTTCCTTCTTTTTTTTTTCTTAGTCATGGGGCTTGAACTCTGGGCTTGGGGACTATCCCTCAGCTCTTCAGCTCAAGGCGAGTTCTCTACCGCTTGAACCACAGCACCACTTCCAGTTTTCTAGTGGTTTATTGGAGATAAGAATCTCACAGACTTTCCTGCCTGGGCTGGCTTTGAACCGTGATCCTCAGATCTCAGCCTCCTGAGTAGCTAGGATTATAGGCGTGAGCCACCGGCACCCAGCTCTTTTTTTCTTCTTAGGCTTCCCTCAAGACAGTGAGCCCCAGAATTAGGATATGGGATCCTGAATCTTCTTGGGCTGTCCCAGCCAAATAATTAGTCTGCATATCTTAGGCTGTTTTTGTTTGTTGGGAAAGTAATGCCAGAGAGCTGGCAGATACCCTCGAAGGGAGCCCCTATCCTTCTTTCTCCACTGAGGCAACCCTGTCCCTATTTCCAATGAGGGGCTGTCAGCCTCTAATAAAGCAGTCAGGAGCTGAGTATGGCCAGCAGAGGGCATCAGGCACTACCATAGGACTTCCAATGGTAAGTAAGACATGTTCCACTCAGCCTCTCCCTGTCTGCCAAAACTTACCCTTATGCCCATCTGGGTTGCCAGAGCTCTGTTTCCCATGGGCTGTCCATGGGGTGTGGAGCTGGAGAGGCGTCAGGGATCCTTGGAACACGGCCTCTTCCTCCTCCTACTCCACCACCACCACCACCACCACCACCATCTCCTCCTCCTTCTCTTCTTCTTTTTTTTTTTTTTCCCAGTCCTAGGGTTTGAACTCAGGGTCTAGGCACTGTCCCTGAGCTTTTTTTGCTCAAGGCTAGCACTCTACAACTTGAACCACAGCACCACTTCTGGCTTTTCTGTGTATGTGGTACTGAGGAATCGAACCCAGGGCTTCATGCATGCAAGGCAAGCACTCTACCACTAAGCTACCTTCCTAGCCTTGCAGTACTTTTTTTTTCTTTCTGTCGGTTGTGGGGCCTGAACTCTGGGCCTGGGCGCTGCCCCTGAATTCTTCAGCTCAAGGGTTAGCACTCTACCACTCGAGCCATGGCGCCACTTCTGGCTTTTTCTGCTTATATGGTGCTGAGGAATCGAACCCAGGGCCTTGTATATGCAAGGCAAGCACTCTACCACTGAGCCACCTTCCCAGCCCCCCTTGCAGTGCTTTTTATACCTAAGGAGAGGCCTGAGGCCAGTTAGATCCTGCTACCACAGCAGGGTCTAAGTATGGACTGTTGTCTTCATGTCCACAGTAGATATGGATATATGTTCATAATGTGTTCAGTGTCCACTGCAGGAGGAACAGTTTTGTTGTGGTAGATAATGTTGACATTGAGCAGCATTAACTTTCCCTGCCCAATTCTATGCACATGTGCCTATGTTGGCTACTGGGGCATGTTCCCTGCTACTTGCTTTTAGTATCACTTCTGTTCATAGGGCAGAAAGCAAAGAGATCCCACAGGGCTGCAACCTCATGCTTAGGCAGGCTAACCTGATCTTCTCTGGGCCTATGTAGCCCTGAATTGCCTGCCCAGCATGCATAGTCTGGTTTATACCAATGGGAGCCACCTCACATAGTCAGTATTTGTGAGATGTAGGCTCACAATCCATGTGAGCCTTGACACATGTCTGTGGAGAACCTGTCTGTTTTTAGAGCTGATAACAAACTCACAGGGTTTTCTATGTGGTAAAACCTACACGAACATTTAAACTAAAAACACAGATGTCCCAGAAATGTCATATTCTGAACAGGGGCTGATTGCTGAGCCTCAGACTAAAGGGTAGGAGCAGGAGAGAGTATCAGTGGGCAGCTCCCACCTACTCCTCATACACCCAGGTATTCCCAGGACATGTCTAACTTAGGCCTCCAGTTCTTCCCTACCCTTGGTTTCCTCCTGACTCCATGATCCTACCCTTATACCTTATTCACCTCCAATTGAAGCCTTTCTGCATGATGAAGGAGCTGTTGTGCAGGGAAACCACTTTTGTGACCCAAAGGAAGCTTGAGCAGAGGCTTAGAAAAATTTGGGAACCACTTTCAGAGCAGAGAGGAAAGAACTCCCATCACCCTTCCTTCCAAAGGTGGCCTTTCATCAGTGGCCCATTCCTTCCCATGTATCTTTGCCATCCTGGTTTTCATGACATGAAATGCTCTGGCAGTGTTCCTGAGCTGGATGTCATGAGAGAGGAGAGGGTTTGGAAGCGTGGTTCAGATGACAGAATGCCAGCCAATGAGTGGAAGCATCAAGTACCAAGTTCAAGTCCCAGTCTCAGACAAAAGTAAAGAAATTGAAGCCCAGTCCTAGTGGCTCATGCCTGTAATCCTAGCTACTGAGCAGGCTGAGAGCTGAAGATAGTTTGACACCAGCCTAGGCAGGAAAGTATGTGAGACTCTTATCCCCAATTAACTACAAAAAAGCAGGAAGTAGAGCTGTGGCTCTGAGTGCTAGCTTTGAGCAAAAAAAAAGCTCAGAGACAATTTTCATGCCCAGAATTCAAGCCCCAGGACTGGCCAAAAAGAAAAAGAGGAAACGTGTCACCAGGATGAGACACAAACTTGGTTCCTTCTTCCCATGGTGGGGCCATGGCCTGAGTGAGTCACTGGCAACACTTTATCCTTTGCTATAGCCCATACACTGTGCATACTGCAGACTGAAGAGCCAGGTCTCAGATCATACCTGGCTAGCTCTAGCATTAGTAATCTACCTTCCACTGATGTCTTGAGAACTAGGACCTGCCTTCCCACTCAGGACTGCAGAGTATCCTATTTTTTGTGAGTGTAGTTAATAGTGGATGGGCTAGTTCTGGTCAATGTGTACTGTTGCTCAGCTTCATCCTGGGTGGGCACAGCCTCAGGGCTAGACAGGGAAGGATATAAGGGCATCCTTGCCTCCCCTGGTTGGATTTTCTAAGTATGGCCAGTAGCCACTGGTTTGATATCTGGCTTGAGGACAAGCCTGTAGTGGCACCAACCTACTAGGTTGCTGGTCATTGTTGACCAGGATGTTAGCTGGGTGTGATCCGTCAGCTTAGGAGAAACATCCTACAGATGTCAGTAGGGGGGTTGAGACTCCTCTTACGTGAATAACAGTACCCTGAACCTACTTGTGCCTAGTGTAGGAGCTCTCCCTATGTGCTGTTACCAAGACAAAACAGCTCAGCTTTCTGGAATCTTCAAGAAAGAGGTCACTAATAGTTCACACATCTGAACTCTCAGTATTTAGAAATGCTCATGAGGGAAGTTGACCTGAGGTAACTGCAGGACCAGCTGTATATGGGAACAAGAAAGTACACAAGAGTGCATGGTTATATCCGGAGTGTTGCAGTTGACCTCAGGGTCAGGGATAACCAGCATCCTCCTTGGGTACAGTTAAGATCACCTTAGTCCAGAAGGGTTTACCCCGGCCAGGGTGGCCTTACACACAGTGCCCTCTGCTTTTTCCACAGGAGCCAGAGACCACAGAATGAGCATTAGGACATGCTGATCTGCTCTTAAGACAGGTAAGTGGCTGAGGCTATTGCTTCTATACTAGACTGCAGAATTACCCTTCCTAGTGGGCATGGTAGGTATAATTGAGAGTGAGTAGACTCTAGTCAGTGTGTCCTCACCCTGGGTGGGCATATCCTTGGGGTTGGACAGGGGCTTGCTGCTGCCCCTGGTTGGATTTTCTTATGACTCAAGTATGGTTAACAGCCACTAGCTTAACATCTGGCTTGAGGATGAGCCTGCAGTGGGACCAGTCTGGTAGATTGCTGGTCAGTGTTGGTCTGGACATTAGGGTATGATCTCTGTCTCAGCTTGGATGCCAGCCTTAGTGATCTGTATTGAAACAGCCTGCCTAGTCTAGTACTTACCTCACCTCAGCTTTCTTTTCTTTTTTTTTTTTTGGGGTCCGGTTGTGGGGCCTGAACTCTGGGCCTGGGCGCTGTCCCTCAGCTCTTCAGCTCAAGGCTAGCGCTCTACCA